TTGGCACCTCTGCATCCTACAGTCTTTTTACAGTCTTTATTTTACAGTTAAAATATATGTTTATTAAATAAAGTCTAATGTTACAACTAATCAGGGATCCCTTTAAGGTCAACTAGCCGCGTCGCCATCTTAAATGGCGTGAGCAATCAGTTTGTAGATGTACACCCACTGGTAACTTCCTGAGAGTTTCACTAAAATTCATCTGGAGGTTCATGAGTCTTTGTGGCTAAAGAATAGATGCACAAATACATGCAAACAAATTCACTCACACAAACAAGTGTCACCTGACCACTTGCACAAAATAATCCCACCTCCATTCAATGATGTGTCCAATTTTAGTCTCTGCCTAACTTTAGATGCTCTGACTTTACTTTTCTGGTAATGAAATCATTAAAACTGTCTTTGGGAAAAAGCTGTAATCAGGTTTATACCCATGTGTTCATGAGAAAGTGATATTAAGCAAGAAGATGCTGCTGCAAAACTAAAATCATGCATAGCTTATTAACATTGACTTGAATCTGTATAWCTCAAGCAAAGCCAGTGTGACATATTATTCTACTTGTGAGCACCCATTTGAGATATTACTCTACCAGCCATTGTCCATCTAAGAACATTTAAGACCCGTGTGAAGACATTCATCAAACAAATGAACTAATTTTTTTTAAACTCGAAATAATGGGTAGAACTATGTGACCATTATATTATAATAAAGGTATTTATGAGCCTTCAATCTCACAGGCTCACCACGAGATACCTTTGAAAATTTGAAATCAGCTCCCGAGGCTGAGGGAGAGAGGGAGGGAAGGAGAGAAAGAAAGAGAAGTAGAAAGAGAGTGAGAAATGGCAAGGGAGAGATGTGGGAGTTGTGTTTTTGCTTTTTTGCCACAGGTTACATTTATAATTATCTTACTGGCATAAAATCGCCAAGAGGCTTTTTCAATAAAGGTGGGAGGCACCTACAGCGCAAAAATAATATTACCTACAGATCAACACGGAACGAGAGCGAAAGCTGCAAATGGAGTTACACTAAATCCCGTGCAGCTTCTAATAAATGCACATGGTTGGGAAAATCATTAAGAGCAGCAGCCCTGCTTTTGCACCAGACTGCAGAACTGAACACTGGGAGGGCTAGATATTCTGAAGATGAGGTGAATAATTTCATTCTCTGTCCTTCACCAGTGGTGAGTAAGCAGAGCCTGAGGAGTGAAGGGAAGATGGCCACTTTCTCAAGGCCCTATACCCTGCCTTTTGATGACTGGAAATAATCACTAGACTGAAAGCAAGAGAGAAAGGCGTGATCACAGACACATCACAGAGGAGAGGAGGATCTCTGATTCCATTATCCTCTCCAAACCCCTTTCGTCGAAGTAAGTTTTCTTTAGAAGCCTTTGTCTTGAGGGGAGAAWATGTCTAATTCCTTTTCAGATTAGCCCGAAGCAAAATCTGATACGACTGGACAAAGTCATTATGTTCAAGCTGCTTTACAAACTTAAAAAAAGTGTACAAAAAAGTATGTTACCACTGAAACTAAACTGTTTTAAACCTACTTTAGKGCATTTAAGGGGTTTCAGTAGCCTATTGCCTTCCTATGAAATTCCTTYTCAMTGYTCTGTCTGGGCTTTCTCTCAGTGACAAGGATTTCTCAAGTCGAATTTCAAATGGACCAATCAACAGAAGCAAGAGCTGTGAACGATGGCATGGATTTTCAGCACGGTTGTAGTCTGCCTGTAGTTTAGAAMTGGCAACGGAGGAAGTGAATGAAACCATTCAAACCGTGTTGACAAGGCTTCCAAATGYTGAGCAATTAAAGTCRGAGCAGAAGGCTCGGTACTTCTCTCTTCCCAGTAGGGAAAGGTTGTTTACAGCGCACGCAGTTTCCGGAAAGCTGGTCCTTTTCTACATGACACAATGGACAACATGGTCTTTTCATACCAGTGTTCATGTTGGGTCCTTTAGATCTTCAATAAAATGATCACAAATGCAATCAGCTGCTGACTTCTCACATATATCAGGATCTTATTTTTCTCTGAGATCAGGTAAGAYGTTTATACCAGGTAGACCTGCAGTTCCACCACACTGGGAAATCCAGTTGTGGTGGATCAGACACATGATGAGGTTAGGCAGGTATGGCCAGCTAGGTGGAGACCTTAGGGACCGAGCAAGAACCTACCTAAGGATACTGTTTCTCAACTGATCTGGGAGTGGTCGACCCTCAGGAGACGCCGGAGGAAGTGAATGAAGAAGAGTAGGCTGAAGTGATTTCAAGACTCACTGGATCAGCTGTTTATTTTTGTTTATTTATCCTTTGTGGTTTATGTAATAAACTCACTTTCTTTTTCAGATGCRCTACCAGCATGCTGACTCGTGTGACGGTGAATAAACTGTCAATTCACATCAAAAAACTTCCTTTGAATCAAGTTAGTGTTATGGCCATGTCACAAACTGTTAACTTGTCCACACTATACCTAACCTCTAGCTTTATTGACAGCTGTGATAAGTCTCACCAACTCAAAAAAAGGCTGTGCAGAACTATATCAAACACTGCAGTTTCAAAGAGTTTACGTCAGTAGTTTTCAGATACACAGCAAAAACTGTCCATCTTACCAAGTTTTAAAATCTTATATCCAGCCAAAAAGTCTTTTTGATCTTGTTTTGAGACAGATTTACTAAACAAG